CTGGTATCGAGACGACGTTCTTTCCGTAACGGCAGAGCTAGACAATAAATCAATAACTATTTATATCACGATCAGAGTATCTACTGATCAATATCAGTAGATACTCTGATCCAGAACCACACAGCATTCTGGGAGATGTAGGCAGAGGAGAGGCTTTCGCTGCTAAACCCCAGCTAAGCTAGCTGGGTAACATGAGCTTGCACACTCTTTGGTTGCCTAGCAACAACTTGTTGGGTAACTCACGCAGCAACAGTTTCAGGTTTCCTCATCGGTGTCGACATAAAGCAGGAACGTAACAGCACTAGTTTAAAACAAAAACCTAATCAATGAATACCAATATCAACTGATGTGAAACGATTTTATCGTGATTCGCCATATCATCCAGCCCTACATAAAGGGTAAAATTTTTTTAAATAATTTTAACAAGAAGTAAAATCTCTTGTTCTTATTGCCATCATGTTTCATTATGTCATGTTTACTCTGTTCTGTCTGTTCAGAACAGACATGAATTTAGTTTATTTAATTTCCCTTTTAGAATTTGAATTGAATTTGGGTTTCTGGTTGAGAGAGCAGCTTGGATCAATCAGCAACATTTGGGTGAAACTTCAGGAGTTTGTTCAGTTTTTGTATTTCTAAACAGAATCATATAAAGAGCATTTTCTCTCTCCCATTCTGAAATGGCCTCGCTGCCATCTTTGTTCCTGCTTCAGGGTGACCAGCAGCGCCCTCCGCTGGATGGAGGCCAAACTACAGCACTGAATGAAAGTCTAAGCATATGTCATTAGTTTATTGATTAGACCAGTGTTTCTCCACCCTGGTCCTCACCGCCCCCCTGCTCTTCATGTTTTAGATGTGCCTCTATTCCAGAACAGCTGATCCAAATGATTGCATGACCATCAAGTACTGCAGAAGCCTGTTAATCACCCAGAGACACAATTTAGGTGTGGCAGAAGGGAAACACTTAAAACATGCAGGACAGGAGGGCCTGAGGCAGAGAAACACAGGATTAAAACCTATTTTAATCTACCAAACCATTTATTGTAAGCTGATTGATTCTTTGCATCCGTAGTTTTGTTGGAGCTGAAACCAGGAATCAGTGGGAGGTTCTGATCCGCTCCGGAGTCTGGAACGATCCCAACTGGAGCTGCAGCTCAACGCTATTTTTCACATTCTGCAGATTTTTTTATTCGACCATTTAAGCTTCTTTTACACAATATTACAAATACATAAAATGTAAACAATTCAGTTCCTTTTGTAAATAATAGATCAAACGTTCGGCAGTGAACAGCTCAAGTTAGGGACGATCTGGAGATTATTTACTGATTGTTAAGCAAGAATCAGTTAATCAATAAAGGTTCTTAACAGGAGATCATTTTACAGAATGTGAAGCAGGTGAACATTTTGAATTTTAATATTACTGTATGTTTTGAGGACTAAAGGTGGAAATTAGCATTTGTAGCAAACCCTGGTTGAGTGGATAAGGTATGTTGTATATTGTCCCATTTTAAGGTAATTCATTCATTCATTCATTCATTAGAAGATTTCTGGTTGAACAGATTTACAGATTAAGAAGGTTTTCTATCTGAAATGCAAAACTTTATTTATTGTTCAGTTTTCATTTTGACTGTAAATGGCCTCTTGTACTCTAGTTAACAATTAATTAATTTTTAAATTAGTCAATGATTATTTCAATCTAAGGCCCAATTCCAGATTGGACCAGAACCAGACTTGATGCTTCCTGGAACCATCTGGTTCTGGTTCCAGAGCTACCTGGAGAAGTTCTGGGTCGGTTCTGGCTGTCAGGCTGCAGACCAGAACTGGTCTGCTACTGTGCGTCTCTACTGGGATAATGACAGCGGGACTGGGCCACACCCAGTCTGCTGCAGCCCAACATGATCATTAGGTGCAGACAGAGCACCTGGCTGAGTCAGAACCGCCTCCGGGTCACAACCAGAACCACAAAGGAGACCTGGAGGCCCAACAGAACCGACCCAGTTGATATTTAAAGGTGGACCAGCAGAGAAAGACGTGTTCTGTATCAGAGTGAGAGGTCTGCTGCTGTGAGGATCTCTGGGTGACCGTCTCCAGAGCCCCCTGCTGGCTCAAACTAAAACTACCTGTCTCCTGGATCAGCCAATCAGCAGCCAGCAGACCTGGATGCTGATTGGCTGCAGCGGTTTCAGTCCTACCTGCAGCCGGCCGTCTAGCGTCCTCTGGATGGTGACGCACTTGCTGGGTTGGACGCCGTTGGACGTGACGGCGGTAATGAGCGAGTCCAGCTCGTCCTTCTTCTCCTTCAGTTTCTTCACCAGGCTCTCGATGGCGCGCTTGGCGAAACCCTCGTTCTCGCCGCCCTGCCGGTGGCACATCAGGCTGTGGACGATGCTGAGGCAGGCGTCAGCGCTGCTGGGGGCGGAGCCGAGCACCGACATGGCCGCTCAGTGTGGGGCAGGGGGCGGGGCTATGAGACAACAGTGGAGAGAAGTTTGTTCTGTTCAATATTATTAATATCGTCTTCATCAATCCAGGCGCGTTTGATGGAAATAATCTGGATACTACCCTAAAAGTTCCTGAACAAACAAAGAACCGGGATCAGAGCCTTGTGGAACCCCAGACCGAATCACAACAACAAAACCTCCGGATCCTGATGCAGACCTTCAGGAGGCTGGAGAACAGCTGCTGGACCCTACTGGTCACATGATGCATCGCACATACATCGCAATATCAGCATGTAAAATATTCATATTGCAAAGGACTGTTTGGAGCATCGTAACTGTTGGCGAATATATTGCTAGAGTTCTTAAGTTCTACTTTTTATGCTAATGCAACATTAGCACGAAGCAAAATCTGCTTTCAAATTCTGAACCAACTTTTAAACCAAACACTATGAATTAGGCGTGTTAGCATCTACTGGTTTGCAACGAATCAACTATGCAATGCAAAGCGTAACTCCATCAGATGTTGGCATGGCTGGAATGATCAGGAAGGAGAGGCTGCTAGCTGGCATCCCTGGTAGGGCACAGAGCCCCCAGTGGAGGGGAGGATGCCCTACATCAGAACTTTTTGGAGAAATTAAAAAACCGCATCAAGCAAATGTAAAAACTAGTTTGTGAAACTGAGGAAATTATTCTCAATTTTGCCATTTCCATCTGTTTCTAATGCAATTGGACAGAAGAAGACAGGCAGATATCACACCTGATATGGTCATTGCAATATTTGCTAACATGGCGCAAAGAGGCTAAGCGGATAAACAAGCCATCACATGATCACCGAACACATCAAGAAGTCACATCAGAACCTAAACAGATCTCAGGTCACAGGAGACAGACCAGAGAGACAACACAGGGAGACAGCCTGGGGCCACTAGGGCCCCTGGGAGCTGGGGGCCAGCAGGAAGCCGCTAATGATGGTATTGATCTCTGTTGATCAGAAACAGATGAGCTGAAGCTTCATCTCTGTTACATCAGCGTCCTCATTGTCCCCTTCACAGAGACACTGGACAGACAGGAGGACACCTGGCATCCAGAGGAACCGAATCTGATCCTGAGATGTCATCCATTAGTGACCTCATCAGTCTGATCAACAGTTATTGATGACCTGATGTCTCCCTGACACCTCAGGTTACAGTGGAGACAGAGACAGTCTGGACACATGGAGACAATCTGGACAGACAGAGAGAGTCTGGACAGACAGAGACAGTTTGGGCAGATAGAGAGACAGTCTGGACAGATAGACAGTCTGGACAGACAGAGACAGTCTGGACACATAGAGGCAGTCTGGACACATAGAGACAGTCTGGACAGACAGAGACAGTTTGGACAGATAGAGAGACAGTCTGGACACATAGAG